TTTGGAGTTCTTTACTTTTAATGAAAGGCCTGAACAACTAGAAAGAACGTAAAAGCTGCAGCAGCGCACCGGGTCTGAGATGCCCACAGATGGGACCAGAGGCAGAGAGTGGCTTTTTCAAATCACAACTCCTGGAATCCCGTCAGCCAGGAAGGGGAGCAGCCGCTGAGTGGCTCCCTGACACTCTGCAGAAGACGGGTGGCATTCTTGACATGATAGTTACTAAGTGGCCTCTTGGTTGGCAGGTGTACCTGTTGGCCAGGGATTGTAGGAGTGCTGAAGAAAGCACACCCCAAAGAGGGTGTGTATGTGTCTCTTTGAAAATCCAAAATGACTTCCCTTCCGTTTTTTAGGGACGCTACAGGTATGAATTCAAAACATTGTTCTTTTCAGCCCCAGCCATCTAGGCCTCCCTAGCAGAATGAGGTTGTACCCTGCGTCACTTCAGCTTACGGGCAGTTGATTTTTAATCCCCCACTCTTGTTCCATGGTTAAGGTAAAACAGAACACCTGCAAGCATTAAACAAAAGCAAACTGACTTCAAATACAGGCCCATTTGAGAGAAAGATTTTCATGTGGCTTGTTCTCTTGTAAGCTATTTTTTTACTTACACAATGTGGGATGTGTACTTTTTTTTGTAATTCTGAGGAAGTAATCTGAAATGAAATAGTATGCTCCACTATCTAATTCTTCAGCATGTGCAAATCAATTCACAGATTCTATTTCAGTTTTTATAGCCTCTCCCCTTTATATCGTCTACTGTGCTTATTTATGCGGTAGTAGCCCCCCCCCATCTGCAGGATCAGTATCCACTGATTCATTTACCTGTTGCGGGAAAATTCTAAATAATCCCCATACATACAGTGGTGCCCCACTTAACAATTAACCCCCTTCACGATGAATCAGCTTTACGATGAGGTTTTTGCGATCGCAAAACAATGTTTAAATGGGGAAAATCCTCTTGACGACGATCGTTTCCCTGCTTCGGGAACCAATTTTTCGCTAAGCGATGATCTACAAACAGCTGATCAGCTGCTCTCAAAATGGATCCCCGCTGTGCAAAATGGCTCTCTGCTGTGTTAAGGACGGATTCTGCACTACATAGGCACCAGAAAATGGCTGCCCTATGG